GTAGAGGGAAAGGAGCAGCACGAGGAAGGTATTCCCTGAGATGTCCATTACCACGCCGCTGTCCCACCAAGCGGATGAATATTGCCCCTCCCTGTTTCTCATTACTGATAGTCCAGCAGCCTTGACCTTATACAGCATGCCTAATTTTGCAGTGGGTAAGTAGAACTACAGCTGTAGTTTATTCCAGAAGGAAACTGTTGGCAAAGGAGCCCTTGACATAGGTCTGTCTTAATATCTCTGCAAAGTATTGCTCTGTTCTCCTCCAAGTGAAATGGCAGAACATTAAACAGGGCTTAAAGCAAGCTGCATGAAAGAAGTAGGAAACCTAACGGATGTAGGGGGAAGGAAAAAGAATATTTGAGCAGATCCCTAAGTAAAGTTCTATTAATCTAGAAGTACTCTGGGTTAGGCCAGACAGTTGTCCTGTTGGTGTTGGGGGCTAGCCAAGCAAATGATCTTTCTTTTACCACAAATCAAGTTTAAGTACCTGTGGTCTAAACCAGGCAGCTGAACAGGTTTTTGATTTTTAGACTAAAACCACTGAGCTTGGCCTCCCTACTTTCAAAGTACTGCAGAAGAAACTGAATGGTGTGGGGAAACTGAATGGTGTGGGGGCACTGCTAGCCTAGACCTCCCTTGGTGAGGGAATCACTGATAGTTTCCCTTATTAGACAAGCTAGGCTAATGTCCTTTGCAGTTTGTTCTCTTACAAGACTAACCATAAGCACTTGAGTTAGACTTGGCAGCACAGGAGCTTGTATTTTGTTAATTTTCTGGCGAATAATGCCATTTTTACATTCCAGACTCTGCCTTAAACTGTAGAGGAATAGTACCCAAGATGTCTATGAACTCTCTTCAACCACTTTCTTCTAGCATGTACTTGTTACATGTCTATGTGAACAATAAATATTGAATGTAACCCTACCTCTAGGTTAGGCTAATATCTTTCAGGTATGTCAGGATCTAGCATAGCCTACAGCTAACAGACTAATTTGGTTGTCTTACTAGAGGAAGCAAACTAATGGTATTGTTTCGATTAGGTAGCAAGTAACTATAATTTCCCTTCTAAATCATAGTAACCTTGTGTCGTGTTATAGGAGGATCTGTTCATGAACTTCTGTACGCTGTCAGATGCTAGAGCAATGGGTGTTCTAGTAATGAAAAAAAAAATTTAAAACCTATTTTATTCAACTTCCTCGCACAAATGAGCTTGTTCAAAAGGCAGATGTCTGAATAGCACGCTCATATTTCTGATTCATTAATGTATGCATAGGGCTACTCAGGGTACTACCTGCACAGCAGGAACTAAGCAGAAAATGTGATACATTCACATCTAGCAAATCTCTGTGCATAGCTGTGACTGTCATACAGGGCTCACATGAATGCACTGTTCTACTTTAACAAGCAGAATCCTGCTAGACAAGATTGTCCATTGTTGGTAAATATAACTAGCTTACAGCTTTGACTCTTGCTAGTCGTTTTATGTATTGCTGTCAGCCTGTGCAGTCTTTTCCTGTGTGCAAAATTGAAGTCCTGAAGCATGCTCACTGAAGTAGAGAGCTTGTTTACCAACCTCCTGAAGACAGCTCTTCTGTTGAGAACTTAATGGTTAGAGACATTTCTCAGGATGCAGTCTGCAGGTCCTGATACAAGCTTCTGGTTAGAAGAATATCCCTAACCTTCAAAGGAAGGGGAAAAGAGAAATGGTCTTGGGGAAGTGTGTTCAATGCTTGTGCTATTGCTGTGCTTCCAGTTACTACTGCTTCCCAAATCCAATATATCCCGTTGGCAGTAAAAGCTACTCTTGTCCTCTCTTGGCCTCTCAGATTCTAATTTGAGGTTAATATTTACATGCCGTAACTCCTTAAGCTGAAACATGTACTTGCAGTATCAAGGGACAAAGAAGGAGCACAGGCTGTGAAAAGGACAAAGTATTAGACTGCTGAGCAGATGTTTAGTTTATTATCTTTGGCTCTGACTTCTCAGTGTTTCTAACCTTGTCTCACACAAGCTTTCATCAATATTAAGGTAATTATCTTTGTCTGCTGTGGTAGATGAGGAAGAAGCCTTTCTGTTCAGAGAAGATTATTGCCCAGCTTTTAAATCTCATGACAAACTACAGCCATGATGAAGACTCTCAATCCATTGTGCAACTACACAGAACTAAATCTAACCATTAAGGGTTGGCAGCACATTGGTGCATTTGCCTCAGCTGAGGGAAATTAAACACTGCTCAGGTCAACTGTGTGGAATGTGCTTCAATCCCTGGTAAAGAACTGATATTCCAAGGATGTCTTGTCACTGGCAACAGCCCTCCTTGTAGGGAGTTTACTGAAGTCTTGAACATCAAAAGCAGAGTCTAAACAAAGTGTTAAGACTGACATTCCCAGGGTAAGTGTGTGAAACTTCAGTACTAATACTTGAATGCATGGTTACCTGACTAGAAATAATAACTTCATAGCTGAAGATCTTCATTGTGTAGAAGGCCTGAAACGGGCACTTTCTTAAGGACTGATCAGTGCTCACTCTTCACAAAACTGTGCCTATAGGAAAGGAGGAAGATGGTGAACAATGGCCTGTTAACAATGCCTTTCTAGACTAAAATGAAATGTAAATGGGTGAGCGGAACATGGTGCATATCTACTGATACAGACTTTTCTCCCGGGATAGTAACATCAAGGGGAAATCTGCAGTCTAAGACTTAAGAAACAGTGTATTTAGCATAGTAATTAAAATGGACCATACAATTGTGGAATGAGTAGTTAAGCTTGCTCTGGTGATAACAGTGAACTTATCTACATGGAGAAGATTCAAATACATCATTTACGGTTTACAGACATAGTTGCTGTAGGAAAGATTTTGCTCTTGGCTATGCAAGCGTAACTGAAGGCAGCACTGTCCTTGAGTTAAAGCACTCATATCTCTAACCCTGCCATACTATGCTGGTTGGCTTTCTTTATTACTCCTGAATTCTGAGCTTTTCTGAAAAACAGTTCTAGTCTCTTGTTGCCTTACTCAGGCTGCAGGAATAAGGAAGCATTAAGGGACTGAGTACTGCAAAAGGAAGCCTCCAAACAAGAGCAAGAACTATAAATATAAACTTGGCTTATCTTAATAAAAGTGCTTGTGTGGTCTACATGCTGTTTACATGCATCTGCAGATATGCAAGTAACCAAAGTGAAGTTAAGTGTAGCAAAGACCTTGCACTCTAGCACAGCTGTAACTTAGGTCTAAAGCATAGAACTCAGATTTGGCTGTGGCTGAGGCTCCAGTAGTCCAAAGCAGACTAGATTACTGCTCACTCAAGTCACACATACATATTTATGTAATTTTAGTGAAAATTTAAAGCAAAGTCTGAGGGGATTTTATGTTAGTCTTGACCCTTTAGTTAAGAGGTAGGAAGCAGTCACTTGAAGTATTAACACGTATTAAGATAACTCTTGTCTGTCCCTGCATCCTTACACCTTTGGAGCAAGGGGCTTACCTGCTAGACTGATTCTTAAAAATATTGAGCCCTTCAAAAGGTATGATGGATGACTGTTGTGGCCTGACAGATATCATCAGGTGAGATGAGCTGTGCCAGATCTAAGATGCATGATGGTAGGGGGTTTGTCCTATAAACAAACTGACAAGAAAGTTCTTGGGTTTTCTCCAATTAAAATCTTAACACTGAGAACAGTTGAATCCTTGCAAATGCTCCCTGTCTTTCTGTGGAGAAGCTGAAACTTCTGTGTATCCTTGCTCACTGTCTTCCACCTCAGAGTTTTGTGCAAGCAAATAAATAAATTCTCTGGCTTCCAGAGATTCAAGGCAAACATGAGTGAATAGAGTTTAAAGATAGCAACCTGAAGTTCTGCCACTTTACAGTTGCCAAGGTGAGGTCTTTGCTTGTGCATATTTGCCACTTCCTAGGATATCTATTTGTTATTGTATTTGACTCTAAAGTAAAAGTAAGATGCACTCAGCTCTGTGATGTTGTATAGTCACAGTAACTTCTCCAGCTAAGTCATAGAAGTAGGATGAGTGACAGGTAGGCCTTACGATGCCTTCAGGTTGCTGCTACTTTCCAGAATGGAGCTGGACAGAACATCCTGAAGTCATGGCTCCAAATCCTGGAGAGCATGTTTTAGCTCTGCTTTTGTCCTGTCCATTTGTCTCCACTTTTCTAAATAAGTAACCTTCCAGATGGGAGTGGGTAAATATCTACTGATTCGGCCATAACTCTGTCTTTCCATCCTCTCTCCTTTTAAATAAACGAGGTGAAAAGTAGTCACAGTAGTCCATTGTTCCTTTGAACTTAGTGGGCTGTATTTGGGTGGGTTTTTTGGGGGGGAGGAAGGGGGGGCGACTTCTAAGATAATTTGGATATTGTTCAGAAAAGCTGGGTGTGGTGTGTGGTTGTTTTTTTTCCCCCCCCCTCCCCCCTTTCCTGGAACAGACTTTTGGGTTGCAGCCTAAGGAATTTCTTTGCTTTTACCTATTTAGTGTTATTATCTCAGACTTCCATTACTTACAGAAGCATGAATAAGACTTAATGGCTTCTTTTGAGTATGTTGGTACCATCTTGAATGTTTGGAACAGATCCTAGCAAATGTCTTGCATTCTCTTCCATCCTACTGAGTCACTGCTGGCAATGCTTAAGGAGAATGTAGCAGAATACCTGAGGTGCTATAAATAGCTTTAAAGGGTAAAAAAAAATAAAGCTTGACAGATTCAAACATGATGCCAGTACAGCCTGTAGATGTAGGTCAGTCTGATGTACTGATTCAGTATTATTGAATGAAGGTTCATCACCTAGTGGCTATAACCTCATGTTCTTTGTGGCCTGAAAAGAACAGGCAGTGATTCACACTCTTTATATGATCTATACTGCTAAAACTTTCAGGCTTTAGTGGGCTTCACTAAAGTGGGCAAAAAAAGGACCAATAGGTCTAACAACCTTTTCTTCAAGGTAAAATATTATGCCTGCCTACTGATTGCTATTTGGATTTAAACCACAGCAAGCACAGCTGACCACCATCTCACAATGTCTACTGAAGCTGAAACCACTACTATCAGCAGCCAGCCTGAGCAGCAGGCTCTACCGAAAACACAGCCTTCAAAGAAGGAAAAAAAGAAAGGTAAGGAACTTGAATACTTCTTCTAGTAAAGTTCTCCTTAAACTTCTTGCACTTGCCTAAAACTAGTATCGGTCTCATTATACAGTGAAAGTAACGCTGAGGTTTCAAGCTGACTGAAGGAATGACTAAGCTAGTAAAATATAACCAGAAGGCAGGCTTTAACCTTTGTAAGCTTTTTCTAGGTTTCTAGTTCTCTAGATTCTTGTTCTACTAGTCAGGCTCAGTGAATGTGGCTTGTGAAAGACTTTGAGGCTGAGGAAATGAAAGGCTTTGGACAAGGTGACTCCTCTCCCAGGATCATCCAGGTAGCTATCAGTCTGAACCTGTGTTCAGAGACTTTCTCCTCAAGAGCAAGTGAGGTGTGACATGCTGCACATAAATACAGTTTCATGCTCTGAGAAGCTAGAGAACTTGGTTGATGAGGATGATTGAAGATCAGATGGTAGACTTCTGATAGGTTAGGTCATGTAAACATCTCAGTACAGAAAATCTAGGTACACATTCCAAATAGGATGGGTATATAGAGAGCAAAACAAAGCAGAAGACTTCTGAACAAAGTTCAGAAAAATTGAAGGAAGAAGGGAATAGCAAATGCAGCTAAAAATCCTGAGTGATTGTTGGGATGGAGGTGCCAGGGCTTGTTGCAGAGCTAACAATGTTGATGGAAAGTTCTAGCACAGGAATTAGCTAAATTTCTACAGGCTAAGAGGAGATGTGACCATACTAGACCAACTAGAGACTAACATCTGAAAGGCTTATTCAACATTCAGTGCAAAAGTAGTACCACTTTTGATAGTGTTGTTGCCTAGCAATCATACTTAACTTGGCTGTTCCCTAGAAATACTTAAGTCTTCTGTCAGTCATGTGACAAATGCTTGTCCTGAAGTCCCCAAATACTAAGCACTGAGCTCCAGTCTTTGAACAGAGGCTGAATTCTGTAAGAGCACTGTGGCTTTAAGGAGTAAAAATTTATCTTGGTGTGTATACACTGCTGGAAGGTCTAAGATTAGAGTAGGTTATGGTCAAGAGACAGTTCTAAATGCATAGTAATAGCTGGTGTCCTTCCTTTTTTAAAAAAAGGCGGGGGAAAAAGGCTCTCAAAGCCGCAACTTAGACCTTTTTAACTTTTCTCTATCTCCAGGATCAGAAAAGACAGATGAATCTCTCCTGGCTAGATTCAAAAGTGATGGTGTAAGATACAAAGCTAAACTAATTGGCATTGATGATGTCCCAGAAGCAAGAGGAGACAAAATGAGTCAGGATTCAATGATGAAGCTGAAGGTAAAGGCTTGAGCTGGTAATGTGAGGAATGTGTTCTGATCTGCCTTCAGAAGGCAGATCAAATGTCACTTTGGCACAACTACAAATATGGTTTAATAGTAACATCAAGAAATGACAGCACTACCCTAGACAGAAGCCGTTTCCAAATCTGCAATGCCTTGCTCAAAGGACAGTGGCCTTAAATGCAGTTCATGCCTCTCTAATGCTTTGGAAATGCTTCATAATGAGTCTCTTGTTATCTTCCATACTGGATATCAAAGCATGGACTTTATCACAAATAACAAACTCGGGTTTTGGATGGGGAGTGGGAAACTTTGTGCACGTTCATATAAGAACCCAAAGTACAAGCTGGTATTCTATGTCAATGGTGATGCTTGGAGATATAGATAAAACCAAAGAAGAAATGAAAAATTCCAAAAGTAGAATCATCTTTGTTGCTGCAAAGCAGAATCCTCACATAGCCTCAATGAGGTCAGGAAGCAGTATTGACCAGGTAAGGATGCTGCTTCAGCAGCAGTCTTGTGAACTAAGATAGGAAGCCTTAAAGCTCCTAAACACTAACAAAGGAAAACTAAAATCTGCTTCTAAGGTGTCACTTCTAACGTAGTCAGGCATGTTGCAAGAACAATGTTATTCTAACAGCAGAGTTGCATAGGGGTAACTAGAATAATACTAATACAGGCACAGTAAAGGCTCATGAGAAATGCTAAGGAGGCAAGCTAAAGCACAAAACTTGATGGAACTCTTATCAATACTTCCATATTGATTCTCTTCAGGGAATGGCAGTGGCAGCCCGTTCCCAGGGTCAGCACAAACAGAAGATCTGGGTGAACATCTCCCTCTCTGGTATCAAGATAATAGATGAGAAAACCGGGGTAAGAAATGACTCCATTGTCTTAACGTGATTCCCAAACGTTGGGAAAAAGGTTGTCAAACTTGGGAGTTAGACAAATCTGAACTAGACTGCCTAATGGCATTAGGGAATAGGATCCTCTTTAAGACTCTGCAAGTGGAATAGGTTGTAACGTGGCTGCCTTTCTGGCAGGAGACTATCCTACTGTGGTTTGTCAAAACTTGAAAATTTAAGTCTTAAACTGGAGCCTTCTGGCAATCTCCTTCATCTGGACTATAGAGAAGGGCAGCTGTAGTATCTTCTGCAGTTCAAACAGGTACTTAATTTTTTCCTGATTATAGGTCATAGAGCATGAGCATCCAGTGAACAAAATCTCCTTTATTGCTCGGGATGTAACAGACAATCGTGCCTTTGGCTATATTTGTGGAGGAGAAGGCCAGCACCAATTTTTTGCCATAAAAACAGCACAACAGGTATGGATCTAAGGTGCTTTTTACTTGCTATAGTGTACACACTTAACATCTGATAAATGTCTAGAATTTTACTGGTAGCCCTATGAGATATAAGGGAACATCAGCACAGAAAGATCCTTCCTCTAGAGAAGGGCAATAGGCATTACTGTACAGCAGTGGCTTTCATCCTGTTCAGCTTTCTTCATAGTCCAGAATACTACACTGAAGTAGCCTTGCTTACTGTGGTTAATCTTGCTAAACTTGTCCATCCACCATGGAAGTCATTAGTGAGATAAACTGGAGCTATTGTCATGACTTCCTGTGCAGTGGCCTGATGTCAATGTGAATACTAAATCAGAGTTGAACACCCACAGATTCACCCAAAATTAGTAGGAGAAAGTTAGATCTTCACTAATCTGTTTTCATGATGCTTTCTCTCTGGCAATACTGAAAACCAAGGCTTACTCCACTGCAATAGTGCTTTTAGGACCAATGGATGGCATGTCTCATCCTCCTACAGTTATTTCTTGGGAGGAGTACTGACACTCTTGCGATGAGCTCCCTCCAATGCAGAAGTCTTGTATGCAGAATTTTAAAGCTTCTTTATAAACTGAAGCTGTACATAAGCAATATTATAAACAAGTTACTGAGATTATTATACAGCTTCCTAAATAGTCTGAGCTTTAGTTAGACGTTTATTGTGTATTAGCGACAACTGACCTGAAGAGCCAGGACTCCAAACCAGGAATTTTCTCATCCACATATCGTTGCCTGTGATCTTAGAGGATATGTTGGACGCTTCAGAGTCCCTACAGGTAGGGCTGATAGTGCCATGCTTCAGCAAGGCTCCCTGTTTAGGAAGGTGTTACTAAGCTTGTTTTAATAGCTGATTAGTCTTGTATTGTAGTGGCTTCACTGGAGTCACAGCTCAAGCACTAAAGCCTTCTCTGTGCTCTAGAGGGGAATCTGCTCCCTGAGCTCCTCACCATGAGGTGCTGCTTGCCAGCCTATAAGTTTAGACAAGCTGTGGATGGCTCTTTACTTGTTGTGTTTAACACCCACATTTTTCTAGCTGGGGGCTAAGCAGGACTTCTGCAGCTCTAGACTGCTGCAGCTATACTGTTTGTGGAAGTTAACTCTTGAAATTTCTCTTCATGCAGTTGCATGTCTAGAACCCTTGAGTAAGAACATGATGCTCACAGTCAAACAAAGTGAGACCTGTTCAACAGATCCTTTGATCAAATTAGAGGTGCCCCTAGTGCCTGAACAGGACTTGTCCTACTCTAGACACTGATATAGCTGCTTTATGCCTCAAGCAACGTTTCCAAATCAGTTGAGTAAGATAGGTTAACCTATCACCATCTCGGCAACAACACAAAACACTAGCCAGCTGCTAATAGGTGGCTCAGAATAGGGCCTTCCTGGGCAGGGAATGCCATTCCCTTCTTGTTCACTCTAAATTTTCATTCTGATACAGATATTGTTTCAGACTAGTCTGCTCCACACACTTAAGGCTGTGGCAGTCTTGCCTTATGCCTGCCTCACTGTGTCGTTCAAACCGTGTTTAAATGTAGGGCTAGTTATAAAAGTGTTCTCTAGGTTCAGTGTTAGAGTAGGGGAATGACAAACTGGGATTTTTCTTGTGAGACTCTTACCAAAGAGCTTGGATGTCCTTTGCACTTCTGAGGAAACAGGATTAGGGCTTGCCAGGTGCATGTGAAATCACATGCTACATCCTTTTAGGAAGGTGTGTGGTATCGTGCGTGTGGTGTGTTGTGTGTGTTTGTGGGGTGTGGAGTTTTTTTTTTTGTTTTGTGTTTTGTTAAACTAGGCTTAACAGAAGGTACCGTAACTTTCCTTGGAGTTGATAACTTCTCTGGGCTGTTTGTGCTTCAACTATCCCTGGACACTGCATGGTCTCCTCTATGCAGAGAGTAGATGGTCCTTTAGACTCTTGGTTTTCTTAATATCTCTGAACCTTACTGTTGCACCAATTAGGCGTGCTTGGCTCCCTGGACTTCTACTGAAACAAGTTTCAGAATAGTACATAGCCTAAGATCTCTTTTCCTTCTGCCCCAGGCTGAGCCTCTAGTTGTTGATCTTAAGGACCTCTTCCAGCTAATATATAATATGAAGAAAAAAGAGGAGGAAGACAAGAAAAAGGCAAGTAAAACTATACAAGCTAATTTAGCTTCTATAAAAGTAAAGCCTCTTGCAGCTCTGACTTGGCTTGTGGGCTCTTGTGAGACTTGACATTGAAGTCCCTGTCTAGAGCTGGGATTGTTTGAGGCCAGTGATTAGTAGCTCTAACCTTGGCAGTTTAAAGACCTCACGTATCTGGTAAGCTACCCAAAGGAAAAGACTCTGCATGTCCTACCTGACATCTAGATGCTAAAATACTCTTTTCTTCTCCAGAGTGAAGAAGTCAATAAGACTGAGGTAAGTCAAACTTCAGCTCAGCTTCATGTGAAAATGTATGCTGCTGTGATACAGGTAGCTTTGACTTCTTTATATTGCTATAAGTATAGGGGTGACATGAGAGGCCCAGTTCCACTGGAAATAGGAGTAAAAGGGATCTATAGAGTTAATATTGAATAGTGATCTCCCATATGTCCTTTCTATGTCACTTACTCTCTAAGCATGAAAGTCCCTTGCTTAAGGCAAGTTTTGATAGTCTCCTCATCACTGACACTGTTATCCATCTATTTCAGAATGGTAGTGAAGCACTACCTGCTGATCAAGCTGACAAACTGAAACTGGTAGGTGAATCTGTAGAGTGTCATGTTAATACCATCAAGGAGTTCTTATTAAGACATCCACCCCACATTAGGTGGGAAATGCAGTATTTGTGTGTCTGCAGTAGGCCTGCCTAATGCTTAATTCTTGCTCATGCAAGAACAGATGCAAATTCTTTCAATATTTCTGGTTTCAAGGGAGTTGACCAGATGGACTTGTTTGGGGATATGTCCACGCCTCCTGATGTGAGCAGTCCCACGGTAAGTAGAGACTAGCATAACTGTCTTAAAGCTTCCTCTCAAAGCAAAAATGATCCTAATATTAAGATCTATTTCACTCTGTTAGTCCTGTTCTCTAGTCTGAGACATTTGCCTAGCTATGATCAATATAGCTTTAGGACACTAATACAATAGTACCTATTTACTAACTAGAGTAGCTAATGCCACTCTTAACTTATCTGTCAGAGTAACTTGAGACTAGTTGGCAGAGACGCTTCTCTATTGTTAGTGAGGTGTCTTAGAAACATGTACTAGCAGTATATGCTTCTACTGTGGGGCTTATTACAGAAACTCAGCTGAAAACACTTAAAGCTAAAGCTCATCTTAAAGATAAGTGAATCCTTGCATAAGTCCCCTAGAGAGGACTCCTGGCAAGTCTAGATGGTGGCCCTAGATCAAGATGTGGCCTTACTCCACAAAAGTATGAATTTGCTTTATCACAACTCAATGCGACACTAAAAATCCTACCAGTTTACTCTAGCGCTAAATGCTCCTTTGCAATCAGCAATGATACAATCTGCAATGTTGCAATAGGTGTCACTCCACCAAGTGACTCAAGTCTTGGTGCCCTTCTACTGCCTGCTCAGTGGAGAGACAGAATACTAACTTTTTCCACTTGTGAATACTTTCTAATCTTACTCAGAAGGCAAGACTGTTAACTTGTGAAATCATGTTGCCTTATTGTGACTTCAGCTAGTTAAAACAAAGGACTAGAACAAAGGACTCAATTGTGAACGCTTGACTCCAGCAAAAGCTTAAGTATCATTAGTCTAGAGACTGTAGTCATTAAGCCCTGCAACACAAGGGTCTTGTATCAAACTGAAAGATCTTAAAACTGATACTTTTAACACTGAGTTTCTGAAGCCGAGCAGCTTTGATTTGATGATGGCTTGCAGTGCCTGTCTTGCACTAAGCTTGGTTTCACAAGCCATATAACTTCATACTGATCCAGTGTTTGCTGTCAGAGTCAAGTATTGGGTGCCAGGGTCTTTCCACTTACAGCTATCTTTCTTTGAACTTCTGTACTATGAAGCAAGTCCATACATAAAACTAACTTTATTTTTCTTTCTGAACAAATAGGAAACTAAAGAGATTCTGTTAGTGGATCTAAACTCTGAAATTGAGACCAAACAGACTTTTACAAAAGAGGATCTCTTCTTGAATGGCATCACAACCTCTCTTCCACAACCAAAGCCACAGCCACCTTTCTTGCCTGAAACTTCTTTTTCTGCCAATCTCAGCTTCTTTCCCACACCTAATCCAGACCCTTTCAGTGATGATCCTTTCGCACAACCAGACCAATCTGCACAGCCTTCATTTGATTCTCTAAAATCTGCTGATCAGAAGAAGGAAAGTCTGAGTACCTTGACACCGGTGGGTAATGGTGCTTCAAATGGTGATATTGACTACTTTGGTAAACAGTTTGACCAGATTTCTAATAGAACTGGCAAACGAGAAGCACTCACAAGCCAGTGGCCATTTGAGAGTAAGCCGCCTGCAGCAAGAACCCCAAATGGGGTACCAGAGAGAGAACAGAATGGCTTTCTTAAAGCCCCATCAAACCTGTTTGTGGAAGGGTCTTCCAAAGGAGTATCTCTGCAGAATGGAGTAAAGCTGGATTCTGAAAGCAATATCCAGCTCATGTCACATGAGTCTATAACAATTAGCCCACCACCACAAAGTACCAAGCCAGGAAGAGGAAGGAGGTCTGTCAAGGTGAACAATCTTCAAGTAATTAATGGTGAAATGCATGCCCTTAGAGAAGCTGGGTGAAGGAAGCTTTCATTTCTCAATGCTATATTACTGGCTAAGCAGCTTCACAACACAACTACTACTCTTCTACCTACCATGCTTTTTCTAACCTCTCTGCAGCCATGGTATCTTCTAACTTTCATGAATGCTTCATAGTAGCTAGAATCACTAAATTATATATACTTTTTTCCTTAATGCTGCCATACTTCTGTAAAGGTCTGGTAAGTATTCTGTGATGTATATTGATACTTGATATAATGCCAGAACCTGCTATGATAGTTGTGTGCCTGTCTACCTGTGGTTCCATGAGAATGGAATACTAGTACTAGTTTACTGATACCTCTGTAGTTTCACAGCATCTGCCTACTGAAGGCCATCTTGACTTGTCTGACTAGATGGCAGAAGTGGCTCCAGGTCAGTTGCATTTCTCTTGCATTTCTCTTGCAGTGCAAAGCTTGGTTAGTGGCCATGATACAACTGCTATGTACCATATAGACTGAAGCAACTTCAAATAATTACAGCTTTATATCTGCAAGGGATATTGCAGACTGAGCAGGAACGTTCATATGGGAGTGATGCTTACTAAGCTAGCTCTTTGACGGTCACTACAAGTCAATAGTAGATTATGCCCACTTAAATACCATGTATATTAATACATGTTCAAACTAAATGGTGAGGTTTCAGACTTCTGTGCTTGAGCTCTAAATTGAAGCTTGCTGCCCTGCAGTAGCTGTCACAAAAGCTTATGTAGTTCCAGACTAGAGTCTTGATCTTGCTAGCAAGTGCCTGGCCAAGCATTCTCACAAAAGCTTTTCTCTTTCCAGACTGCATCAAGTGACTTGTTTAGTTCAGACTTGTTTGCACCAACTACAGAGAGCCTTGGTTTGACTTCAGTGGCACAGCCAGGAACTGTGCCAACTAGCCCACTGGACCTCTTCAAAACAAGTCCTACCACAGCGCCTCCACTGGCTGGTCTAGGTTAGTTCACAAAGTGAAACTTGCTCTAGTCTGATATCTGTTGATATCAACGTAATGGTTCTAGTTCCCCTTTACTTCATGTACAGTGCCTAACCCATGTGACTTTTTTTTTTTTTCCCTGTCTACTCTGGACTCTATACATAGTCTGTGAACAGAACCCTAAATTCTGCTCTCTTAACTGGAACTGGGCTTTTCTGGCTTAAACTTCAAGGATAGCTTGCTACTTCAGTTGCACAAGATTCAAGTGTGTCAGGTCTTAGTGTTATAGACTTACCTGGCAGTAATTGTACAGTAGATGCTGCTAGGACTAAGTATGCTCTTATTGCTTGTCTATCAACCTCAGGTCCATTAAGGACTGAAATGGAGCTGAGTAAAAGGTAGACTTCTCCTCTCCCTCTTGCCAAATGCCTCCATTTTCAGTGTAAAACAACAGATTTTTGCAAAGAGCATATGCTGGTACCCACAGTGGAATCAATGCACTTCTGCTTAGAGTTCTCAGGTTGCTGAGCGCTGTGTAACAATCTTCCTCCCAGGTGGCTTGCCAGTAACTTCATCCCCATGGAGTGCACAGACCTCTGCCTTCACTCAGGCTGCATCAGTCTTTCCTGGATCTATGATGCCTGCTCAGCCTACAGGATTTACTCAACCACTTGCCTTTGGTACTCAAGCAGTGTCAAGCTGGAACCAGCCAGCATCTTTTGGTCCAGCACCCTCTCAGTCCCCTGGTCTGTGGGCACAGCCAGCACAAGTTCCATCTACTTCATGGGCACAGCCAGCTGGTGCTGTAAATCCCTTCCAGAGTAGCGTATTCCCACCTTCAACACTACCTGCTCAGACACCATCTGTACTGCCTTCCATGTCAACAACTACTAGCCCGCCTCAGCCACCACCTAGAACTGCACCTCAGAAGGAGCTATCCAAGAAAGAGAGTGATGCCTTTATTGCTCTGGATCCACTTGGTGATAGAGAGATGAAGGATGTCAAGGAAATGTTCAAAGACTTCCAGCTGACAAAGCCACCTGCAGTACCAGCAAGGAGAGGAGAGCAGCAAAGCCTTTCAGGTGCTTCTGGAGCTTTCAGCAGCTATTTCAGTAGTAAAGTAGGCATTCCTCAAGATAGTATAGATCATGATGACTTGGAAGCTAGCAAGCTGTCTGCCAAAATGACCGGTAAAGTCTCTCTTCTGCTTGTATAGCTGCTCAGGGAGTAGGATGGCTGACCACTAGCCCTGTCTGATGTAACTAATAAATCATCTTAGTCCCTGAAATGGTGGATTCAAGGATTATTTCCCCTAGTTTTTTTTAAAAAGCATAACTTGGAGCAGTGGCCAAACACTGACACCTAGTGCCTAAATTACTTGACTAGGCCGTGCAAGTAAACTAGGTCTGCACAGTGTTAGAAGTAGCATCTAGCATAAATGCGCTGAACTAAAAGTAAGACACAATTTTTGGACCACTCAAAGCAATACCTACTAGACTAGCTGGGGTGTTGCTCTACAGACAGGGCTGAGTACTTGTCTAAAAGCCTTTAGTAATGCAGCAGTATGTTTCTTCTACCTAGAACCTCCAAAGCCTGTTCCCCGACAGAGCGCTCTGCCAGCTGATGGCCTGTTTGAAAGTCAACCTAAAACGGACGTTTTCAGCACCTCCTCTGTAAGTAATAAAAAGCATGGTTCCCTTCATGATAGGGAAGTCTGAGGGCCAGTCCGCTCTGGTTTTAGAGGCCAGGGAACAAAATATTTTGCATATCTGAGGCTAATATGTAGTCTAGTGAGGCATTACTTGGAATCGTGCTTTGTTAGCCTTCTTGCGTTTGGCTTGGATTCATAGCCAGTTTCCCAAGCTGGGAGGCCCTACTGGGGAGTCCTTAGCTCCTGTATTGTGAGCTGCTTCTAGAACAGACTGTAAAATAACATAACTGCAAAAGGCATACCTTGATTGTGTTTACCTCCGCAGAATAGACTGCGTGCAGACTGTGTAGAGCTCTCATTCAACAAATGGGAGGTTCCTACGTTTGGTGTCCTCCAGTGGAAGAAGTGGCCTAACCACATCACTCTGGAACACGGCATTTGAAGCCCTGAATGGAAACTCTGGAGTAATTCCAGAATGCTGACTTATGGTATTTAGTGTTTGGCTAAAATGGATCTCATCATGACTATACTGGCTCAACTCCAAATGAGTGTTCATTAAGTACACGTGGCCTTTCTAACAGATACCTTGCCTCAGATTAGTAAATAACTGCCAGCATGGCTTTAGACTGTGTTTCTCTTATCAAAGCAGTATATTTGGTACTCGCATAGCAAGCACTCTGGAGCATCTTTCCAGACAGTGTTTTGAGCAGGAACTAGCTGATAAAACCATGCAGAGTAAAACTGGTAAAACTTGAAAATCTACTAATAAGCTATGGTCTTTCTCTTAGAAGGAATCTCAGAAACCGCCTTCCGGTCCATTTGGTGATCCTTTTGGCAACCCATTTGCATAGATCAGGTAAGTCTTCCACTAATAAGACAACCTTACTTTGTTTTCTGAACTTTATTCAGAAAACCTGTGCCAAAGAGCTGCCTAGAAAACAACTATGCTGGCTTAGCTTGAATGCCCCTTAGGAAGTACTGCAAGCACTCACCCAGTGTGTAAAAACACTTCTGCTAGAGTACCTCTACTCAGCTTCTTCCTAGATTAAACCTAATCAACATCACTTTTTTAGAAACAAGGATCAAAGTCTTCTGTGAACTTAGATTTCAAGGCCACAAGAGATTAACTTTCCTCAGTGAAAGAAAATGTGCTGCAGAACTCCAAGGGTCTGAGTAAATTCCTGCAGGTATCTCTTTAGTGCAGTGTTATCACACAGTGCACCATATAGCTGTCTCCTAAATATTCAGATTTTATATGCAAAGTGAGAGTGAAAACGTAAGTGTAGTTATGAGAGCCTTAGTCATTGGAGACTAATGTAAGTCTGAAGATTTTTGATTTGTTTGACCGAAGAACATGAGCTGCCAAACTAGCAATTCTAGTCCTATTCCATAGTAGCTTTTTCCCCCTGAAGTACTCTGTCTGGCTTCTAACAGAAGCTCGGTGTTGGTTTTTATCGCTTAGTTTTCTTCTCTTAGAAGCTCTAAGCTTGTTTAAGTAGTAAAACTATTACTTCTAACCTGAAGTCTTTTTCATCATACTAGGCATAACCAGAAAAGGACAAATGGATTAACTGGACCTCTTCTCAACATGACTTTTCTACTTGTTTCATTTTGCTGTCTGCCACTCTTGCTGCTGTTCCACAATGTCTGTAATCTAAAACATGTCCAGGTGAATTGAAACATGAACCCTCAAAGAACATGCTGTGAAGGTGATTCAGGGCAAAACAAGTGGGAAGTTGGACTCATGCCAGACATCCCAGTTCAAATTGGTGAATGGTAATTTTACTTTAGTCTTGGCAGTCTTCCATGGAAGAGCTTAGCAACACTAAGTCATGCTGTCTTGTAAATCTGGTCACCTCAATTCCTATTTCTGTAGCACTTACTGTCCTATAATATAGGAACTGAATGTACCTGGGGAAGAAATGCTGCCCTCACATGAGGGAACTGAATTAGTAGCTAAAATTCCACATCTTAAACAACTAGGTCAGTTGCATGTTACCACAACAGCAGCCAGTTGTAAAGTTAGGTGGACACTACTCACTTCTAATTGGTGACTGGACATATGACTTGGTCTCTGAGCTGCAAGGAGGTTAGAATGTATGGTAGGAAAAAATCCAATACTTGCCTATTCACCAAATAGTAAAACTAGCACTCCACCGTAAGTGTATAATAAAGGGACTATAACCATGGGGCTGTGGAACTCTGAGCAAACTTGGTCTGTAACAGAACTCCTAGGGTCCCAGGGTACTGGAGGTCTATGCTATAGAGTCAGATAAGCTGAAGCACTTCCTGCAGAGCAGCCAGGTCGTCATGGACACTAAATACTGTCTTGGTGCTAATATGGCATTATTTTTCAGGGAGGGAAATCTACTTGGATACTTTTTTTGTTGGTTGGTTTGCTTTTTTTGTCTTGAGGTGGCTTGGCAGATAAATGGAACAAGCAGATAGGCTTCTTGCTTGTACTTCAGTGAATGTCCCTGATGTTGCTCACTTTGAGTTGTCACACAATGTAGTGTGGCATGTTTCCAATATGTTAGAAAACAATCATGGCTTCACTCCATGCCTAGATTCCTTGTGAATAGATAAACCCCCTCTGTGCCATTAATGTGAGGTAGTCCTCCATCTCTTTGAAAACAGTGCCTTTTCTAATGAACCTTTTCACTAACAGACCTTAAATCAGTTGTTTTATAACTGACTGTAACAGCTACTTTCTTGGCCAGTGGTGATGGCTGATGTGTGAGTCTTTCTGTTCATACTAAGTATAAACTTGAAACAGTATTGTTAAATGCCTGAGCAGCTGCTGAACTGGAGAGCTATAAAAATCAACTTGAAGATAGCCTTAGTACCCAATTCAGCCAGTCATACAATTTGTCTTGTATATAAACCTTCTTTGCACTTTCTGTAATGCAAAAAAGCTAAGAATTATTTGTCCCAACTGGAAATGCAGAAACTTATGGATGTTACACTGTTATAAACTGTAGTATCTCAAGTGATGTTACTTTAATGACATTAAAAAGAAGCAACTCTTCATAGCAAACGAATGTAAGTGTGGCTGTTGATTCTGTCCTGCAAAATTCAATCCTGTGGCCTAGCTGACGCTAGGAGTTCAGAACCTGCTAAGAATTGTTATTTCTGTCTTGTGCTATCTTACCGCAAGACTTAAGACCATGCTATAACTTCTTGCGTCAGGCCTGTTAAGCACTTGCTGCCCTTCAGTAAAATATACAATCCCAGCTCTGAGTGGTCTCCTAGGCTGACTCACTCTACGAACAGTAAGTTTTTACTAGAAGTTCATCCCATTAGCCCATGGCCAGCTCGAGTTTGTCAATACTTCTGAGTCTAAAGATGCCCTCTTGTCCCATTCTGCAAGGGTGTGGAAGCTGGGTGCTTGTCTTCATAAACTTCATTCCTCCCATTCAATGTAAGAGGTAACTGATGCAAGGGGAACTAAATTAGAAGGGGGGAATATTTAGCTCATTTAGAACAAATTTCCTAGGTTTTTAAAAGAATATGGATTAATTCTTGGCCATTAAACTTACTGTTTTAATCTAGGCACTAGTACTGGATACAGACTCTTAGTTGTCAGTTTGACATCTAAGACTGGAATACAGAACCATTTGAGCTAAGCATCTAAATGAGTATTTGGCTAGCCAAGCTAAAATTAACAGCAATACTATCCCTTTGTAGGGAAAATCTACAGTCTAGCTTAAACAACTGTTGCAGAACTGAGTTGGATTAGAAGGACCTCTTAAAGGCTGGTCAAAGATGCTTGCTGGTTTGCTAGCTTAGTTTCCATACCTGTTCACTTAGTCCCTCTCTTTACCACAAACTGTGAATTGTACATAGCATCACTTGTAACATTGTAGTGTTTCATGTAAAACTGCTTCAAGTGTATCTAACTGTTCTGGACTCTCCTTCAACATAGCTTAGTGCAACTGAACTCCATAGATTAGAATTGGGGCAGCAACAGTTTTGCATTCCTCTAAATTAAGTTATCTCACGTTAAGAATTCATTAGGGAAAAACACTGCCTGCTCCCTTCCCCTTAAAGGTAAGGGTGGGGACAGAATTAAAAGTAAATTTTGGATCGGCTCATAGCATTGTGGAATATCCTTATGCTATATGCTACATGATCATTTTAAGATTTGAGTCTAGATACTTAAACAGCTCTTAACTGCTAAAAAGCAGCTTATTCATGAGTTAAGTCTTGTGACTGTGTCCAACACGTGATGCCTTAAGTCTGGATTACAGTAAACTGCTGAACAAAAGTGCCCTCTAAAAAGCTATCCTGTGGTTTAGATTTTTTGGTAACAGTGAAAGCTAGGAGAGTTTTAAGCTTCTTTGAAACAAAAACTGTATGTGTGTTTTCTCTTTTTTTTGCTTTATTTAAAAAAAAAAAAAAAAAAAAAAAGCAAAACTTTATTTCTGCAAGCCTCAATAGGAGGATTCCAAACATGTTAGAAGCTGAATTTGTTCTTGTAAACACTTATGGACTATGTTTCTTATGCAAGTCACTGAAGTAACTGCTTTTACTAGCCGGTTAACTATCCTCTAATTGAGTAGAAAATGTCTTTGCCTGTACTTAAAACAAATGTTTTTGTTTACTAGTATATTTTACTTTAAAACTCTTTTGTGTTATTTCCTGGTCTTCACACAGAAAAAGTGGACTTTAGAGTGCTTACCGTAAGTCACTTCTGCCTGAAACTACTTTTTTTTTTTTTTTTTTTTAAAAAGCACTGCTTTGTTTGTTCTCTTGGTAATAAATAACAAAAAGAACAAATAAATAGTTTCAGATTCAATTATGACAATTCTTCTCTACTCAGCTGCAAAATGAGAAGCATGCATGTTATTCTGCAGCTTATGCCTGTACTATGCACTTTAGAAGTGGCTGCCTCCCTTCTAGGGGAAAGCAGAAGGTAAGTGTCCTTGGTCTTTTGTAGGTCTGTGTTTTCCAACATGGAGCATAAGGCTTATTTGTATACCCAGCTAAAAGGGAGAACTTTTGCTGTCTTTCAAGAGGAGTCAAATGGAACTGGTTTATCCACTTTTCTTACTTTATGTCTATGGGGCACAACAAAGGGGGCTGAAAGCCATTTAAGTTATCTTCTTGCAGGAAGGTGGAGCTCAAACAGTGATCTTCTGTTGCATGTTGAGGGTGAAAGTATAATCTCCATCTGCCTGATGTCTTTCTGAAGATGTGCAATTTTCTGCTGACAGTACATATACTAATATCTCAAGTCTCCTAGACTATCTCTGTTTCTTTGGGAATATAACTCTCTTTCACTGCAGTATCTCTAGAAGGAGGAGCAAGGGCTTAGCCCCTACAAAAACATCATGTGAAAACATAGGAATAGCTACACAGCCTGAAACTGGAAATCTACCTAGTCTGTATCTCACTTATGAGACTGGCTAGTACTAAATGCTTTAAGAATAGGCAAGAATCTCATAATAGACATATGCAGTGCAAGAAACTTGGATCCTTCTGCATAAAGACTTAAACTGCAATGTGGCATAACACTTTATGATGATGTGTGAATGTTGTCTGAACAAGCAAGTGTTGCCTCATGTGCATGTGTCTAGGCCTGAGGGTGACTATTGACGTTGTCTGAAGTACCCGAATGGACTTGGTAGAAGAGCTTTCAGAACTGTAGTATTTAATGCTTCCCTTTCATCTTGGTATTTTGATAATTCTTATGGCTTGAGCATTTAAATTCTATTACAGCACAAGTCTGACACATTCAATTAGAAATAATCCAGCCAGAAGAGAGAATTATTGCAGAATCTATAGCAGGTAACATGGGCCAAATGCTTGACTATATATCATACCAAAGTCTATGCTGGTGCATTATGGCACTAGCAATTATAATTGGTATAAATATATACCTTCACACGATGCTATCACATATCCAACTCAGAGCTATGCCTTCTCTGCTGATCAGTGCTAACCATTAAACTAAGCCTTTTCTTGTGTTCTGTTTTGTGGCAGATGAACAAAATAGCTGTCTATTTTGAGGCATAGATCACTAATAAATCATTCATGAAGCTGACTGGCATGAAGGTGTATAGTGTTGTGCAGTCCAAGACAAGGTGCTAGGAATTCAGTGCACTGATTGTGAAATGGTTTTTCCTTTCTGAAGAACACTGCTCCCACAAAACTCCCAAGTGAGGGTTAGTAGAGAAGGTATTTTGATTTTTCGCACTTGTCTCTGAAGGTCACACTTGTCTCCCAGCTACTGCTTTCAGTGACAGTGACATTCTTCAGTACCTGAACTGCTTTCAAGACTTCTCTTATTTAAATCATTAGCCTTAACATCTCCCTTTTCAGTAAGTCAAGCCATTCTGCCTGGGTTTAATGTACAGGTTACAAACTTGCCAATTTTCCCAAATCTTCCCCTTCTCTCCCTCCCCTCTACAAATGACTTTCAGTAAAACATTCTTCCTATATGTGTTCCTTGAAATTTCAAGGAAAATCTGAAATTTCAAAGCTGACTCTACAGCAAATCATAGGAACCTTATGCTATCGAGGGGATGTGTTGCTCAGTTGGGTGGCATATGTTTTTACTTGAATACAAAAGTTAGCATCAGAAGACCATCTTTGGCTTGTAGAAAGACAGTTCATTTACACTGGATAAACCCAATTCAGCCTCTCCTTCCTGGGCCTTTTGCTCCAAACCCAAAATAACGGAGAATTTTTGGGAGCTGTATTAGCTTTGGGCCAATTCCTCCTTTAGGTTTTCCTTATACACACTGTTCTTTGTTTACCCTTCTTACCTTTTGCAAGAGGATTTTGGTTGCCTTTTTAAGCTAATAGTTTAAAGGTTCAGAAGTGCATTTTTTAAGGCACCTAAATCATTGAAATTTATAGGAATGAGATATAAAGTGCCTTTAGAAATCCTACTAGGTGCCTAAAAAATATCATTGAGGGTTCCCACTCCTACTATGTTAAAGGACAACTGGTTCATCTTCTCCCTAAAATACCAGAGTAGGTGTTGTTACCCTTCAGAGTTTAGTCTTAAATCAGTAAGTAAATAGAGATCATATATGCAGTAAGCTGTGCAGATACAGGAAGTAATAAGCCGATTTCCCCCCATTTGCAAAATCAATAGAAGGAAGAAATAAAAATCTACTGATGTTACCTTTGTGCTGAGTTGCAAAAATATGTATTGGAATACTGTACAGCAGCTTTTCAAAGTACTGTCTGCCTATTATGATGCTGTAGTAAATTGTAGTATTGTTGGGAGTATTTGTAAGATAAACTTTTTATAGATAAAAGAATTGTGTTTGAAGAGGCCAGGGAGCAGTTGGGCTACATCAAACTTCAAATATGTTATGACTTCCTAGAGGTTAATACGATTGTAAAATCATGAAAAAGCCTAGGATGGAAGGACCCTCCGGAGAACATCTGGTATGAACTTCTGTTGAAAGCAGGGCCTTAGATTCGGTTGTCCAGAGTCCTGTCAAGCTGTCCCGAATATTTCCAGTGAGGAAGATTCTACTTCTCTTGGTAACCTACTCCAATGTTTAATTGTTCTCATGGTGATGAATTTTTTTTTTATAGCCAGATGGCATAATCCCCCGAAGCAACTTGTATACGTTGCCTCCATCTTCTGTGTAACTCTCTTCTAGGACAAAAAGATTCTAAAATGTGGTTTCCTCTTTCCCCTACCTTTTCTCCACCCCCACCAACCATCCAGTTGTTGTTATAACACAAGGTAAGTGCATCTCCAGTGCAACTTCAGGTGGATTTAGAACTTCAAAAAAATCTGTATCAGTTCCCTAGCTGCATCTCCTTTGTTATCCTGCTGTATGTATGCTTAGTCTCTGAAATACATGCACCTTGCAGAGTGTTTGGAGATCTGTAAACCTCACAGCATTGGAGAAAACAAGGTAGCCACTAAGTGTGCATATGAAATCAGGAGAAGTTTCAGATTAAGAGTACCCTGATGAATCTAATAACAATCATATATGGTCAAAGTAGAGCCAGCTGATCCATTAGGCTACTTCTGACAGTGACCATTAGAGAATGCTCGCTGAGATTCATAAGAAAAAGGCAAATTTTCATTGCACTACTAACAGTCAATAGGTTATGGATTTAGGTGCTTGGAGTCCAGCACCCATTCAGTGAAAGGGAATTCTGGATGAAGTGGACTTCTGACATGATCAGATCTGGATCCTGAGCCAGCTACCTCAATACCTGGTGTTTTGCATACAGCAAAGCTTCACACTTCCCTACTGGCCTAGAGCTTGGAAGATCCCTATTGTACGTAGAGAATTTTTCATTCCCTATTGTACGTAGAGAATTTTTCATTCCTTGCTTATCTCATTAGAATCCCACATTTTGAAGGCAACATCCCTAGCTTAAAGTCAAGAGAATTCTGGGAAGAGAGTTGTTTAGAAGCAGCAGGCAGGCAGCACGAGTGCATGATATGGGTGGTTCCAGGAGCAGCTACTGTGCTTGTTCACTGGTAGTGTGACAGCAAAAAGCCTGAAGCATATGAGTCAGGGTGAGTTGGGGTTGCACAGCAAGCATATGATCACCAAGCTGTTTAAGATTCAATGGCTGGAAAGAGACAGGTCAACTTAGTGTCTCAGTAACAGCTTACTATGTATTTAACCTTAACATACAATAAATGGTAATGAAAGGCTGAACTGACCGGTGTATCTTCTTTGGCCAAACTGCAAATTTCTCAATTTCATGGAATCGGGTTATGTTTATTTGGTCACCTGGTGTATTTGTACAAGGGAAGGGGGTCAAAGAGTGCAGCGCAAAGCCCTGCCGGCAGAAAAAGCGCATACGTCAGACTAGCGGAGCTACAGATTTACCAACATGCTGGGCTCAGCAGAGAAGGTCCCACTGTACAGCAGAGGCCCTAGCATTAACCTGCAGGTGCAGAAATAGTTGCCATGCAGTGGATAAATATTCAGCTTGTAAGGCCAAAACTGAATAAATTAGAGAGTAAACCAGGCACGTTAGACCCTAATGCTCCCTTACTCCTCTGTTCTACAGCGTTCTTCCCTGTGAAGATAAGGTCATCTGTAAACTACTGGCCTTGCTTTTTAAAATGGACTAGTTATCTTGTAGTGCATCAGTTTTTAATGTCTATCTGTGGTACTTTCAAGAAGCTGTGTTTTTATGAAATGATGCCCTTTTACTTACTGAGAGACAGGCGTTTCATGGTATTTCAGGCTGGGTATCAAAATGAGGAGTTGCTCTAGAAAATCTAGGCCTTTGACAGAAACCTAACTGGTGACTCTTTGAACTCAAAGCTGAAAAAGTAATTAGTTAGCTAAACACTTGTCTGTTTTTTTCCGACTATATATGTTAGCCTATTAATAAATAGTGCTTTTATTTACGAGCCTTCTTTCAATTCAGGAAAGCATTTAAACTTTTAATTATTTTTAAGGGCCACCCTATTAAAGTTAATAAGGTCAAAAAATTAAAAAGATGTATTGTAGTGCTTTAACAATTAGGGATGTGTTGCTCGATCAGCACCTACCTCTAGCCCTAAGTAGGGAGGACACAGCTTTTGCCTTATAAAGGAACTACGGACTTTCTCCGTGTATTAGTGTTTCATTTTATTCAATTCATGGCATAAAATGATCCACCAGAAGCACGTGAGTATGCACAAAGATCCAAAAAAGGAAATGACTGGCTTATTAAGTGTTTGACTCTTTTTTTTTTTTTCTTTTTCCAAATAAAATTTAATTTTAAACAACTATGAAAGAGTTTAACATCAGGCAGCTGTTTATAAATCGAAGTACCACATGTTGCTAAAGAAGTGAACCAGGAAACAGCTTGAAGATGCTCACAAAACATTCATCTGTGGTTTAAAACCAACTCAGGTGTGATTTTTAGTGTACTGCCCAGGACTGTATTGGAATGTTTTGTCTGACAGCTCTTCCTCTTCCGAGAAAGCTTTCCAGAGGGGGACAAGAGAACTGAATGCTCCATCCCCGATAGATTGTAAGCTGAGCAGCTGGAGTGAATGGGGGCCCTGTGACCCATGCACATATCAAAGGGTAAGCTATAGCTGTAAGTCTTTGTTTCAAAGCGACAATCACAGGGACTTTATCTGCTTGCCTTTTGCATTTGGGAAAATATCAGATTGCAGCCCTTAATACATGCCAAATGTACGTTCATGATTTGATGAAACTCATAATCATTTGAGACCTGAAGCTGTAGCAATAAGGGAAGACTGCATCCAGTGTACAAAACTGGTCAAGCGTTCTCATTCAAAATGTTTTATTGATGGAAATAATCTTTTTTGGCCATGGGAATGTTTCTATGAAGAACCTTAATTTTTAATACGTGTTTCCATTTTACATACAAAGTGATATTTTTGTCAAAATCAGGTTTTTTGTTTTCTCAGGGAGTTCTTTCTATGAAAGTTTAAAAATACAAAACAGTTCCTTGTTGATGATATCATCATTTTGCCTCATGAAGTTGCAAGAATTCAAAGCCCCAAACAACTCTACTAATTACTGGTGCCCCAAAAGTAGGTAATACCTACTGGTGACAGATAAAAACGCAATGACTTGTAGAGCTAGAGTTACAAATGATCTATATTCATGCAAATCTGTGAAATCCATGTGAAATTATCAGACTAAAATCACCTTCTTCTAAGTACAGGCTTCAAAGCATATAAAATATGATGCAATTTCCTCCTTGGTTTTCTTGTAAACAAAAGAGTGGAAAATAAGCATCGCTATATGCTTGCTAAAACATTGTTATTAATTAAATGTTGCTGTACAAGTATTTACTCCTCAACCAAAAATCCCACCAAAGATCCTTTGTTCTGGAAAGTGCAAAGTTCAGCTGGAAATCCCTCAGTTCTGGTATTTCTTCTCTCCAAGCAATGTTAATGCTGTTACTTATCTTTCAAGTTTCGCTCTAGAAGTATTGAAAAATTTGGACAGTTTGGAGGAAAATCATGCCTGGAGGCTTTGAGAGATACACAAAGCTGTAAAACTAGTCGAGTCTGTCCTGAAGAACCAGAACCAGACTGTGGTACTGACTTTCAATGCAATTCTGGTAGGTTTTGTTTTCACATCATAATGAGATATGCAATAACTCAGCAAACTACTTTTAACTTAGTTCTATGAAGAAGCTCAGTCAACGTCCATCGAAGTCGTTTAGCATAAACAGAACAAGAGATGCATGCTTCAGTGCTTTGCTTGTTGGGGATAATTCCCTGAAGCCATGCTGTAGCACTAAGGTTTAAATAGAGCCCCTAGTGTGTATGGAGGTGGGTTGCAAAGCTATGAGGCCGAAATCAGAGCATGAAAAATGCTTGAGAAGGGGTGCATTCCCCTCTTCTCTCCTAATAATTTGTGTTTGTGTTTAAATTCCTTTCCTGTTTTTTCTGCTCCATGGCTAAAAGCTGACTTACTATGAGTTTCCTTCCTTCCAGCATACTAATTCCACCTGGAACAGAACCCTTATGTTTTATGAAAAATCACTGGGAAAAATTAGAACTGAAAGAATTCTGACAAAATGGTTATGGAGGTTTAAGTGACCACAACAGAACAGTACACCTCTGCTGGAGATCAGAATGCCTCTACATCCCAAATAAAGTATAAATTTGTAGATCCATACATGCATATGAATTAATGTAACTTTCAGGACTCATCACAAATCAAAATGAAATGTTCATGGTAATAAACCAATCAATACAGAAAAGGAAAGATGCTAGGTGGATTTCAAGTCCCAGGCCATTGTCAATATTGTCTGCATCTCAAATACTTTGAAGTCTAAGTAGAGAAAGAAAAATTACAGAATATATGCTTAAATAGTAGTTCAAAGCCCTTGCGTGGCACTCTACAGACAAGGTAGCTGATGGGAGTAAGTTTTTTTTTGTTTTGCTAGGGTTAAATATACCCCCAAATCTTTAAATCACATAGGAAAAAAAAATGAGTCTCTGTAAAACCTGCAGTGAAACCCTACCTGACCTCAAAGTAATTAATATTTCACTGTTGCTTTAGAACACAATTTACGATAGTTCATGTCCTCCTAATAGCAACAACTTAAGCAACTCAGAAATAATTATTTGTTGATATTGACTTATTATTTTCCTGTATTCTCATAATACAATTTTAAAGATCTAATAATCAAAGATGCATACAGAAACAGTCAAAGGAAATAATAACTTTCTGCAAATGATAGCAGTTCTGCTGTCACTTGGTTTTCTTAGCTATCCCAGTAAGCTAATAAGGCAATTTCATAGCATATTTTTTTCATCTGAAGGATGCGTGCAGTAGGATTCTAATTCCTTGTGATCGTAATGAAAGTATATGTCTAAGAGGAAGATCTCAGTAAATAAGAGCTGGGGGCGGGGGCGTAGGTGGTATTTAAAGTCCATCTTAGAAAATAAATGATTCATTCAATGTTTTATGCTTTGCTTAGGTCGATGTATAAAGCAACGTCTTGTGTGTAACGTAGATAATGACTGTGGAGACTTTTCTGATGAAGATAACTGTGAGTCAGACCCACGATCACCATGCCGTTATCATGATATTGATGTGTCAGAAATTGGCAGGACTGCAGGGCAGGGGTACGTAATGAAGATACATACTGTTAATACAGGGCCTTGTGAGGGGTCTAGGACTGTCTCCAAAGCCAGCTGGAGTAGACTGCCATTCCCAAAAGTGAAATCTGAATGATGTTCTCATTTGTATTTAGAAACACTATGTGACTTTGGAAAAACACCTAACTAAGGTTTTCTTTTATATACATTGGGAGGATAAAATATTATTCCAGACTATGGATACTAAATAAATTATTAATCGTTATGTTAATAACATATATATATAGAAATGACATGTTTATGCATACAATGTTTATACATAAATATAATCTTTATATTTAAACCATTTTTTCAAGTGATCTTTCATAAAGAATTAGTCATTCTCAGTTATGTCACTTACATGCATATTTAAGAGGTAGAAAACGTATCTTGATGATTTTACACAACACACTGCATTACTGCAACAGCACTGTGCCTGCAACTTTTATTCAGTACTGAATTCTTCACTTCCCCGGGCCTTTTTTGTTTATAGGAGCTCTCCCCATTAATCTAAATTGAACATTCATTTTTCTGTTCTCAGACTCTGATGAATTTTTTACTTTAAAACAAAAGTAGGACACAGTGTATCCACAAATTGAGTAATAAGGAAGCTATCCAAACTTGAACAGACCAAAATAAAAGTATATCACAGCACCACCTTGTGTTTAAATGAGAAGGATACATCATCCATTTCATTTTGATACTATTGCACGAGAGCCAAAATGCTGCCTTTGTAGCATATGAAAGTGAGCTGGGTACTTAGGCATTTTTAGAAGTAGCTACTTTATTATTTCTAGTATAATCTATTACTTGTCTCATGAGAAAATGTTGTATAGACGTGCAGTTGTGATGATGACATCTTTGGTGAATTGATAAGCATTTTCTACACTCCATTAGGTATATGAACACGTATCATACATAAATACTGTGGCCCCTGGAAAGTTCTCAGTGTATGAAACAGACACAGAAAGGTAAAAAACAATATGCAATCCCACAAGGAGAAGCTGTTTTTAAAAGTTTCTCTTGTACATTGGTACATAAGCATATAGAGCTACAAAAACAATGTGCCCTCTTTTCTGGATTTATTATGATCCAAATTTCCTCTCACCTGCCCCAGAAGATTCTATTACTCCACCAGGTCACTCCCTGGGAGAAGAGATCAAAGCTAGGAGTGGCTGTATATTCCTTCTACAGGTTTGATGCGTCTAGTGTACTTTTGATATTAAAGTTCCTGTCAGCAAACAAACTAATATGAGTTACGAAAAGATAGGATGAAAATAGCTGTTTAAATGTCCATTTTAAACCTATAAGGAATGACTCCTGACAAATACATTGTTTAAGGAGAAATTGTTTCCACCTCCTTCCAATTCCAAAGGTTCTCACTGTGCTTACTGTTAACTATCTATCATCTTATTTGTTTGTTAATTTTTCATTCATAGTCCTTTAAGTGCTTTACAAAAGATGCATTATCTCCACTAAATGGATGAGAAAACATGTACATTTGAAGCAGCTTGTTGTGGTGGAATATGGTTCTCCTGATCACCAAAGATTCAGTTCCCCAGCTATGTTCTGTCTCTTACAGAATATGACTTTTCTGGTCATAATACTACTGTCAAGAGGCTATGGGTGCTGACACCTCCTTTTCTGAAGTGTAACCTCGCTTGTGTTTGTTGTAGAATCAATGTTTTAGGGATGCAGCCAATGGCCAGTCCGTTTGACAATGACTTTTTCAACGGCCTTTGTGAAAGAGTGCGTGATGGGAACACGCGGACGTACTACCGCAAGCCATGGAACGTTGGTGTTCTCATTTACGATGTAAGTCCTTCTGCGCAAGCTAGGATGTGTTTAACTGAAGCTGACTCCACATATCTCTTGAGTCACCTCAGGTGGTCAAAGCTCTCTAGCATTAAGCTTTTGATAAAGTTCAGAGGGCAACAGGTTGTGTTATCGTTTGCATTAGCAATTAAGCTCACTTGCTCCAAATAAATTTCCATTGCATTCAATGATGTACCTGTGCATAGTAAATGAAAGTGTCTTTCTAGAATGTTTATAATATGGATGGAAGGGAAAAACAGTAGATGGGGGGGAAAAAAAAAAAAAAAAAAAGTTGGGTATCATATTCCTTTACCAGGTACCTTGAAACTTTTATTGCATTTTCAAGGGCGCACAAAAGACTGATAAAATGGCAGGAATAACATCCTCTGGTCCTGCTTGGGTTTCTTGATCTGTGATGACTTTCTCTATCCTAGGGACGAAAACTAATAGACCCTTAGCGATTCGTACGATGATTTCCCTGAGGCTTTCCCTGAGCACCCAAATGCCGATGATCATAGAAATCTCAGTTTCAGCTGTGTCCGAGAAAGCAAACTAAGTATTATATTTACCAAATGTATTGCCTATTGCTACAAGGATAAACTTCAACTAGACTGTCCACAAAATGAACAAATCTGACCCAGAGATCATTGCTCGTATTTGATTTTGATGCAGAATCTTTTTCAGTTACTAAAACTCTATGTTCTGCTAAAATATGCAAAAGAAAACAACATTGAAAGAGGCATTATGAATTAGCCTTTGTCTGCTGTAAGTAGGCTAAATTAGAATTCTAAATCATTTCAGAGGTTGAGACCTATTAATAAATCTTGTTTGCATTCTAGCAACAAGCTGGAGACTATTATTCCTTAAACATAAGAGAACTGTTGACACAAATAAATTACACTGACAGTATGACATGCTGAGACTTAACACTCACTGAAACGTTTTCACCACAGCTTTCTGTTTACTTTTTCTGTTTATTTCTTTCTGTTTACTTCTGTTTCCACTTGTTAGAGCTCTAAGAAAAGATTCATGCCAAAACCCAAAACTGAATATTTCTGGCTTTTCCCCACAGCTTGCAAAAGCAGAAATAATTAAAATAGAATGGGGGGAGGACACATTGTCATAGTTGCATCCGATGAATAGTCCAAGTTGAGCTATGGTTTCTGGTAAAAGGTGGTTCTAGGGAAAAGAATAGATATTTAAAAAAAAAAAAAAAAAACATGAACACAACAACCGCATTTCTGTCATAAAGGCAATTTCTGATTGGTATGGTAATTTTCTGAAATGTCACAAATTATTTCAGCTTTATAAATCTTTGGGAGATTCTTTACTGCTTATGTCAAACTAAATTTAGGTGCTTCCTCAGAGTCCAGCTTTTTGGCTAATTTTTTCCACTGAGTTGTGGTTTTGGATATTCAACATGAGATGCCTTGAACAAATCCACGTTTTATATGCTGGCTGCTCAGGTGTTTTGGAAAACAAAACAAAACTTTAATGTTTGACTGCCCAAATACTGTAGAAACTCAGACCACTGGTGATGATACTTTTGAAATCATAGTCCCTTACACAGATTATATGGCTTCCAGCTGTCCCCCACTGGAAGGCCAGTCATACCAAGCCACATTACCAGCAACACGGCACAGTCTGCAAGTGACCTGGGAATGCTCATGTTGGGACGCACACTACAGTGTGTCCCCACAGGGGATACACAATTTGTCTAAGGAAAGGCCAGCAAGACAAAGTTTTCATTGGAGAAGTCATCTTCTCCCCATATGGAGACACCTCTGTGTGGCACTTCCACTGGCTCTCAGTGTCTTTCTTGCATCTTAATATCATGCGGCATGTGATGCCTGGCCACAGAGAAGGGCAGAGGCCCTGCAGATGCCTTAGATGAAAGCCCCATGGAACAGGGGGAAGGAACGTAAGAGAGAAGTAAGGCATATGTGGTTCTGTGCTCTGTGCCCAGCACTTGGCAAGTGTGATTATGTGTCCAGAATATGAAGTCTGAGGTGTTTTTTTCTTGATCTGTGGAGAAATGAAAATTAAAAACCAATAGAAGATGCTTTCCTTCCATCCAGGAAAAAAAATCATGTCTTTTTTAATTTGTGAAGGTCCTCCATTTTAAAATATAGATATGCTGCCATTAAGGCATTGTGCTCCTGTTTACTTCTGAAGATGAGACTTCCTGCTTGGATTCCATCTCCTTTTGGACAGCATCATCTGTCCACATAGTGAGGGATTTTTTCCATAACAGTTTCTGGCCACAATGGAGCTTAACAGATGCAGTCAGTCTTGGGAGTCTGGATCTCAGGAGAGGCTGAATACACAAGGAAACCACATAAAAACCCCCATGGGGTTCTGGGAGAACCAAGACAAATCAAATTATTGATTTAGCTGAATCACATTCTCTAGCTGAGTCAAATTATTTTGAGTTTCAAGCATTTGCTTTTTCAATTAAAACTGAACATTTCCAAGGAGATAAACCAATAGTTTAGTAAAGGTTGGGATTTTTTTGGTGGAAAAATAATTTTCCAGCTCAAAAGGCCATGCAGCCTTTAATTAATGCCTTCTGTGAAATGACTTTGTTATTCAGAAAAAAAAAAACTCCGCTTTTTGTGTTATTCTGTTTGTTCAAAGACAGCCCAACTAGCCTACAAAGTGACTCAGGTTTCCACTCTTCATGCTCATCTGCTGTGTTCATATTAGCACCTGTTTTATATATTTTTTATTGATAACATAGATAAAACATACAACTTTAAAGTGCTTCATAGATTTTCTGTTACTGCCTTTTTTAACTACTCATGCAATCTTTTCATCATCTTTTCTAAGACAAAAGCAGACAAAACCTTCACAGCTGAGTACTATCATGATCGTGCAGAAATGATCCTAGAGGTTTACATAGAAAAAGAAAGAAAATTTAAGGCTGATCTGTCTGTGAAATACACACCTACTGAAGGAAGTGACAAAGATACTGTAAAAGGAAACTTCAAGTATCATTATAGCAAGAATTCAAATTTAAGTTCGGTCCTGCAAAGCACCACAGAAAGGGTAAGTTTAATCAAACTAACATGTTTAATGTAGTGGTTTTACAGACACTAAAGTTTACATAATGCCAGAATAAAGCATATTAATCTTTCTAAATATTCTAGTTGCATACTACTTTTCTGGCATTTATTCACAAAAATGAAATACTGGCAATACTAGGATTAAGATTTCAGAGGTGGCTAAAAGCGTAATTAAATCTAGCTTATTCTTTCTACTGTTTCTGCTGACTAACAGTAGAAACACCGTTCACCCTCATCTCATCTCAGAGAGATCTCTGGCCCTTCCTAATGTCATCCTGATTAGAAAGCAGCTCTGACCTAGTGCAGCATGGACAAATTAGATCAAGTCCTGGGGTAAAAAATTGCCAGCGAGTAGACCTGAAGTAGGTAAGCTTGGACAAGCCAAATAAATAGAATAATAACCCAAAGGTCAGACCTCTGCTATTTAAGTACGGCTATACTAATAAATTAGCCTGCTCTAAAAGGCATGGACATTAGCACTGGCATTTGATTATTTGCCTTGTTTTATTAACGCATTGCCTGCCATGATTTGGTCTGTGCCAGCTCTACTGCTCTCAATGCCAAGCAGGCTGCAGGGGACCACAGAACCAAGGGAATGTTCCCGGTAGGCAGTCTGGACAACGTAAGCAGATTTTGGGGGTGCACATAAGCCATGCCTCTCCAGTTGCCATTTGAAACAGAGGAAAGGCCCTATCCCATTTTATTTACCAGTACAGAAATAGCCTTAGCAGAATATATCTGCCTCAATTAATCCCATCTTTCCAGTTTCTTGTTAGCCTTTTTTTTCAGGATACCTTCAGAGACCAGGAAGGAGATCATGTGGATTTAATGGAAAATTAAGATAAATTTTATAACTGGTTAGTTAAAATAATGCTGAATACATACATACTAAATAGAATAATGCAATACACTGTCAGTGTATTGATATGGGTTGTTTCTTGAGGCAGAAGCCAAGATATAAAAGCATTCATCTCTACAGACTCAAAAGATTTGGTCCTGTATCTCAAGATACATTAGGCCACTTATAGCCTAGTGACCTGCAATGCGAGTTCTGGCTTCAAATCCTTGCTCTGAGATCACTTCAGAAAATGAGTCAGAATCTGTCACCAGCAGAGGTCGATCATCGTAAACTCATGTTGCTGCAAGTTAGCGTAACAGGAATCCCTGGCCTGAGAATCCTAACAGGGCTTAGGGGTGAGTTAGAGCATGGAGCAGCCTGGGAACATCAGGAGTAAGAGATTTTGTACGTGCTAGTGGCAGAAATATTTGCACCCGCAAAAATTTCCTCACCGAAGTTTAGATGCCTGAAGATTTCTGCCATTTCTAGGCAGCAATTAAGTGGGGAGTTGAAGATCTCTTAAATGTCACCACCTCATGTGATGGTCAGTTGCTAAATCCTTCTTATTTACTTCCTATTAGGCATGACTGTAAAGGAACCCACATAAGTACTGTAGATAAAAATGGAGTTTGGAAGGCTTGTGTTTGTTTACCGCCCTAAGTGTTACTATTTCACAAGACGTCCTGTATTATATGCAGCAGACAGGTCTTAGTTGAGACTATGATATAAATTCATCAGCAGTGTAATTTATGACTATATAGATTATGAAACCTCAGGTTAGAATGTAGGTATAGGTCACATGCCTCACAGGGTTTTTTTCCTGACTAATTTTCATTTTATGATGCTGTTTCATCTTTTTATTTTTTAATTGGAGCGGTGCCCTTCATTCGGGCAGTCTGAGAATAACAGAGAAGTGATTCTAAAAAGAGAGAACTTAGTTCTGTTCTAATTACAAAGGCAAAACTCCAGCTGAACTCAGTGTGCCAGAACAGTTTTTATTTTCAGAAAAGCCATATTGAATTATTTTTCTATGTTATAAAATTAAGTGAGGAAGACGCTTTCTATAGATAGAGTACTTAGAAGACCCTGTCATCAAATAGATCACAAAGGGTTTACTGAAATTAGCAAATGGAGAGCTTTGCAAAACTGGAAAAACAGAAATTAGCTAAAGTTCTTGCTACTTCCTCAGTTAAAACACTAGATGACATTTTAGAGAACCTACTATTTCATTTAAACAACTTTGTCCCTGTTCCAAAATGCTAGATTGAATACAATGTTCAAAAGTGCTACAATTTCTTTAAAAGTAAAAAGAATAGATTTTCCTGCTGTAGTGCATTCCAGAATCTCACTCTCATCTCCTGCTTTCTTCTCACTGGTGTATTCAGAAACAAACCTTCCTGCATGTAAAAGGAAAAATTCAGCTTGGAAGATTCCAAATGCGAAGTCGTGATGTCCGTCTCACAGACAGTTTCCTTGATGATCTAAACTTTCTGCCTGCTGAATATGATAAGGGGGAATATTTCAAATTCCTGGAAGATTATGGAACTCACTATGCAGTCTCTGGAGCTGTGGGAGGAAAATATGAACTTGTATATGTGCTGGATGATTATAATATGTCTCAATCAGGTATGCATTCTACTGGCCTAGCTCTGGTATGCCGATTATCACTGAGTCTCCAGCCACACAAAGAGATGGATGAGGACAGTTTCATGTATATATGGAACTTTACTGAGGACAGCACAGTTCCATGTGTGCCATCAATGGCATCAGTACAGAATTACACCAGTTCAAGAGGTGAAAGGGTCTGTCTTTGTATCTTCCAAGATTTTTTCTTGCAGGTCTGTATTTTCAGCATGTCATATTTAAAAAAAAAAAAAAAAAAAAACGAAAAACAAAGAAAAATCATCTTAAATAAAACTATTCAAAATATTCACAATAATTAGTGGTGGGATCTGATTCACAAGAGATCTGCAATGCCTAGGAAATCTGGTGAAACCTTAAATTCATTTTGCCAGTTGGTATCTCCTTGTGCTGCAGTCACTCTGAGTATGGCAGTGGCATAAAATAATGGATAAATTGAAGAATTTCCCAGAAATCACATGGTGGAGTTGACCATGTGGAAACTATTTTTACAGACTTTAACATTCACACTGGAATTTTCCTTACCCTGATTAAGATAGGAAAGCAGTAACTTAATCCTCCCTTGTGCAGTTCAGGCACATGTGGTTTTGTGATGGGTTTAAGTGATCATTCTGAAGCTGATTTTGGAGGTCAGAAAATAAACACCTGTTGCGTGAAGCATTAACAATAGTCGTGCCATATAATGTTCAAAATATTCCGAGGGACATGGGACAAAGGTGTCACTTACGGATTGTAGTATTATTCCTTTCAACATCTGGAGATTATACTGCTCTTTTTTTAAGACCAAACTTAAGCAAAATTCCCTCTGAACAAAGGGTAAAGTTTCAGATCAAATGCTTGAGTTCAATAGACAGAAAAGATGTGCTGGACGTAGCAGAGGATAGAGGAGGACTGGAATTTAAGGCAGAGGAGTGTACACAGGAGACTAGTGGCGTTGATTAAGTGCATGGGTAAAAGGAGTGAGAAAACAACTTGCCTGAAGTTGGGAGACAGAAGCTGAGAGAATTGAATAATTTAACACATAAAAAGAGGAAATGATAAGCAGAAAAGACAAAATATCTACTTTCAAGTAAAGGAAGGAAAACATAAATGAGTTTTTGGAGGGTTCTTAGCATTTTCCCAATTACTGTAGATCTCACCTGCCTCAGTGTAGCCACTTCAAAGGCAATCAATCACCCTCAAATTCATTGCATGGAAAAGGAGAAAATAAAAGAGAAATGGGAGAAAGAAAGCCATTGGAAACATTTCCAATAGCCTTGAAATTTATCCTAGAAGAATAATATAATTACATTCTTTATGGTCATTCTGTCCCTGTAATAATCACCTAATTATTTCCACTTGCAGGTATCACCATAGAAGACGTAAAAAAATGTCTTGGCTATCATTTAGATGCCAGTGTAGTATATAAAGGATTGAATGCCAGTCTTGATATTAATGATAATAAATGTGAAAAGATTAAGGTGAAGGACAAATGTAAGTATATCCTTACATTTTGTTTAAGCAAAGATGATAGCATTTTATTCCCTGTTTATAATAGATATAGTGATTGCAGTTAAGAAAAGGACAAATCCAGTAGAGGTGAAGCTGCTGTAACTGCATGCCCCCACCCAGTCAATCCAGTAACAAGGCTGAACATGTATTTCTAGTAGGCACACATACGCACATAAACTCACAGCCAGCCACACAGATCAACACAGACAGAAACACAGCACTCACAGAAACATAAATAGCAGCTATGGCCTCATCCTGTCCCCCTCTCTGGCTGATCAGGATGAAGGTCTGTTAGTAGGAAATATATTTAAATATAGACAATATGGATTCCTCCAGTAGCTGGCCTTAGACATTCAATCTATCCAGTAACTAGCCCTTGGATCCTCTTGTTGTGGATTGCCTCACACACACAGACAGATACAGATACAGGCGCACACACACACCCACACAGGAGCAAACAGATCTCAGTTGACCCCCACACCTTAGGGTCTCCAGTGGTTGGTCTGGACTCCCAGTAACCCCAGTAGCTAACTCCTCGAGTTGTCTGATTTATAGAGAAACACATGTATCCAGCCCAGATTTATGGCCGCGTTGATACTTCTTGGCTCCCACGTTGTTTATCCTTAATGCTATTAGTCCTAGACCTCCTAGACAGTAAACTCCTTCAGTCTGCAACGCAATCCAGAGAGCCTCTCCTGTTGACTCAAGGTGTCATCCCCAGCCCATGGAGCTGATGGCTCACCCCAAACAGCCCTGGGAGGTGCAAGGGCTCCAGTCCTCTGATGAGGTTACTCAGGTTCCCTTGCCTGTCATTGTTCCTCTGCGCTCCTTTGTGTGTGTGGAGATGAGCCTTTTATCAGATAACAACCGCAAGAGGAAAGGAGTGAAGGGTTTGCTGCTGAGCAGGAGAGGCAGTTTTGTCAAGCTTGTCTAGCGCTCCTCTATTCTTATGTTTTAATTATGAAGTGCAAGCTCCTACTATTCCAATTCCTGCCCTTTTCCGGTCCAGCTCAGAAAATACAGTAGTATTACCTGTATTATCTTTGGCTTGTTATCAAATGGTAAGATCTCCATAACCTATCTTATTCTGACCTACTAAGTCTTTAACCTTCAGGTACAGGATTTTCTGATTTAATTGCAAAACAGAAGATTTCCTCCCACATAATAACTGCAAGCAAAGACAGACAGACAGATGACCACTAAGTGAAGGGTTCTTCTATCTCTTGTCACTTTAAAGAACTGGACTAGTTGTGCTGAAAGGACAACTATTCTTCAAGTTGTATGGATATTAAACTTCCTTCTCTTCCTCTCTGCCTTCTTTCTACAGCACAATATAAAGATAGTGCCGTCATTGACGATGTCATTTCCTTAGTTGATGGAGGGAAGATTGATTTTTCAGTTAAAATAAAAGAAATGTTACTGCGAGGATTAAAAACAGTTGATGTGGAGGATTACATACAGTGGGCTAAGTCATTGGTTGATGCTCCAGTAGTGATACAGCAACGGGTAAGTACAGTCTCTTCTAAGCTGGGTCTCTTGCAGTTTCAAAGCTTTTGTTGTGAGATGGAGGTGAGTCCCTAAGTTTATCATTAACTTCAAAGTATTTTCTTCATCTTGACAGATTTAGCCTTTTTCTTCAAAAGCTTACTTTAGTGATGTTTATATCAAAAGGACTCAGAACTATGGAAAAGTCTGTTATATACAGCCAATTTTCTTCTACAGCCTTCTCCAATACATACGCTTGTTCCAGTTAAGATGAGAGATGCCTATCTGAAGAAACAAAATTTGGAAAGAGCAATTGAGGACTATATTACCGAATACAGCGTGTGCAAATGTGAACCTTGCAAAAACGGAGGCACCGTTGTGCTGGTAGATGGAGCCTGTACATGCATGTGCTCTAGCAACTTTAAGGGAATTGCTTGTCAGATTCCCAAATCTACACTAACTAAAGGTTAGTAAATATTTCAGATAGATTAAAATGAGCACGCTTATTAATATGAACAATATCCAGACAAAAAGAGCCATCACAAGACATAAGGATGTCATAGTACTCCCTTATATCTCTTTCTGTCAAATCCCATGGGTAGATAGTATGGAAGTTAGTGTAAGTTACCAAGATCTTTCCATGAAGAGGGCACTCATTAGAGTTTTTTGTCCCACATACATTGTTGTGTCTCGGAATGACACCCCCAATCAATTTAAGCAAATAGGAGCATTACTGAAGCATGGTGAAGTAATGGTACAGAACCAGGGCTGTAAATTGAGTTCAAGCAAAAGCACACTCGCAATGCCATAAAGTGCTTTATCTACAGTTTCCTGCAAAAGCACCATGCTTGCTAACACATGATCACGTTTCATAACTACTCTGCTAGCTTACTGTTAGATTGATCCACGAAGGGGAAGAGGAGATGAATGCAGTTCTCATTTGACTGTATAAAAGATTTATTATGCAGTTAATTCTTTCCGTGTGGCCAAGTTTTTGAGGTACAGGTGCCCAAAATATTTGATACTCCAGCAGCTTCCTAGGGTGACAAAATTTTGAAACCTCCAGGCACTTAGGCAGTGCTGCTGACACAGAGTTTTCAAAAGTCAGGTCTGTGCAGATGGGATGTAAGCTAGAAGATGCAATGGTCTGTACGGTCACCATAGCTGAGAAAGCAAGAACTGAACTGTGGTCCACCTTGTCCACCCTCAAAAAAACCTCTAATTTATGATACCTCTGTTACTGCACAGAAGGCAGAGAGATGGTGTACCAATCTTAGTATGGTGTTTTAATATTAGTTGTCACGGATGGAGGCTGGAGCTGTTGGAGTGCCTGGTCCACCTGCATGAGTGGAGAAAGCACTCGAACTCGTCAGTGTAACAACCCTGCCCCAGAACCTGGTGGCAGACCATGCCAAGGAGAAAGCATTGAAAAACGGCCCTGTGGTGAAGTAAAATAGTTATCCAGCTCAAATCAGGTAAGCAGCCTCTCTTAGGTACTAATGCATTATTGCTGTTTACAATAAATGTTTAGCCAATGTTCTGGGGGTACTCCAGCGACAACAGTGAAGATGTGACATGGATAAGCCTGGTTACATGTTTCATTTAAACCTGTGACTTGAGATAGTTTTTAAAAGCAGCGACCTTGTTGCTCCAATTTGTGAATGGCTATATTTGTATTTGATCGTCTTGATGAGCAACATTATATCACAGAACTTTAGGAGAAAAATGACGTTCTGGATAAAAACAGACTGAAAATCTGACCCTTGAAATCCAGATAACACCTCTAGTCAGACTCTTCATCAGAAAATTTATATTTTAGGGAAAGGGAAGAGACATATTTTCAACTCATGATATAACAGACAGTTTGGGAGTTTGAACTTTCATATTTGGTAGATACACTTAGATCCACCAGGCTGCTATTACAGCAGTTTTGAACCTTTTGTGTCAGAAGAAAATTGGGGTTTTAGAAAATGTTTAGCAACAAGGTTTTGTCGATTTTTGTTTTTAAAACAGCACTCCAAAGCAAAGCAAAAAACAAGAATTATTCTAAGGACTGACGCTCCAGTTCATAACATGGCAAGGTGGTCTGAATTTTCTTTATCTGCTGAGCACAAGAGGCTTGCGTGCCCCATGGATGTGAGAGTAAAAGCTTTCAGGCCCAGAGGAAGTGTTTGGGTTGTAGGCTTGACAGGTTACCATAAGTTCCCTTTTCCCCACAAGGTCACAACAGGAAAACAGATGGCAAGATAGCGAAGGTATCTTGTGCATGTCATCATTGAAACATCCTGATGATAAGCCATGCAAAATGACCTCCACCTGGGCCGAAGATATGTGTCAGAAGAGTTCTTCTGTGACAGCTCTGTCTCATCTTCAGTAAAGTTCAACTATGTCCAATCCTCTACTTGTGAAGCATCCTGAAGAAAGCTTGGCCAGTAGCACATGCTAGCACTCAGGGAACCAACTGACCCTACATCAGAGAATTACACACTGCTTTCAATAGCACCTCATCTCCAGGTTGTCAAAGCTACTCTTTCCATAAGTTATTTCAGGAGTTGGAAGAATATGATGCAGAGCTGAAAATTCATGAGTGACATGAGGAAGACAATTATAAGAACTAGGGGACATTAAATAAAACTAGCAAATGGCATATGCAAAACACACTGAAGAGTGGTCCTTCATAGAGAGTACATAACAAAAGTAAATACGCATTTTAGAAAACTCAGGACAAATTAATGCAAGGCTCTCAAACATGCAGATAATGATGCTAGCTCAGGAAGACTCTGAAGTGTCAGTTTTTGGGGGATGGGGGAATATTCTGGGGAGGTATTTCTGTGTGTTTCCCTGTTCATGTACATTCTTCCCCAGACCTCTGCCTGCTATTAGTAACAGGATATCAAGTTAGCCTTTGATTGACACAGTACAGCTGGCCCTGTTTTAAAAAATCTCATGAGCGGCTTAATTTTATTTCTGCAATATATCACAGTCATATTTATATTCGGCCACAGTGGTAAATACCATGATGATTATTCATGACATATACGTATTCAGATATGTTTCCTCCTGTATGGCACAGCAAAAGCTCTTTAAAAAAAAATTAATCTAACTTTGGCTCCTGAAATATCAGACATGTCGAGCACTCACTTTTCCAACGGAAGCCAGTGGAAATCTTGTATACTCAAGGCTTCAGAAAGTCATAATATGTGTTTTAATTTATTCTTCAAAAAAGATAGGGGAATCATGTTCCTAGCAAGCACTTAAAATGTTGAACAATATATGCAAATGTTTGATTGTGTTGCAGTAACTATATGCTATCACTTCTTCACTATTCTTTCTTTTTTTTTAGAAAACAATAAGGAATGCAAAGCCAATTTTACAAATCAAAATTCCTGCTGGCCAGCTAGCTATCCAAGAGCAATGTAACACCATGATTTACAAGCATCTGCAGCTTAAATGATCACTAATCAAAACAAAGTAATGTATTAATAAACATTTTAATGGAGGTGAACTGATGCAGTGGGTGTGTTCCTTCTTTTATTTGCCTGCTGCTGTCATTAGAACATGAATTATCAGTCTTTGTTATTCACTAGCATAATGGAGCTCCCTTGTCAAAGGTTTTCTAATAGTTCTGTGTGGTAGGTGTTTTCAAGCCCATTTTCAAGAATTCAAATCCAGTGTAAATATCAGAAAAATATATAGTAACTTCAGCTGACTGATGGTATATGATTAGTAAAGAATCTGGGAGAGTCACTGCTCTTCACGAAAATGCGCTTGTGGATTTATTTCCATCCCCATATGTTTTATGTCTAATTCAGACCCTGAATCACTGCTAGTTTTAAAGACATTCAGGCTTACTAGAGTTGTTACTCCTCCTCCTCCTTAGAATGTTTGCTGAAAAGCTTGATATTGTATCTTGTATAAATCAATATGTTAGAGATTTTTATTTGAAATTAGAGGTACATCACAAAGGGATACAGGAGTTGTATTACTAGCCGTATTTTTAGCAAAACTTCCAATGAAAACAAGGCTGAGGCAATGGTACTGTCTTTGCGCCAGCTTTTCAGTCTGCCTCAATAACTTTTTAACCTGCTGGTCAACTGCAAGAAAATTTGGTTGTGGGTGGGGAGGGAGGATAATTCTCAAAGATAAAAAGTTTCTAGAATTTTCATGAAAAAAGGCAGCTAGGTTAACTAGACAAAAGGAAATCAGTGTCCCTATTTAAGAAAAGACATTACTGTGAACTGAACTATTCACCTAGACAGCAGAAGACCCACATGGAAGCAAGACACAAGAAAACAGATTTATTTTTAAAAGTTAGGAACTGACGTATATAGATCTGAGCAATTTGAAAAAAACAAGAATGGTAGAAGCCACCAGATCAATGAGATCAGACCCTTGCATGCATGCAGTCCATGTCTGGAAGAGTCTCCTGGAATCTTCATTCCCTGCCTCCTGCCCATCACAAATGAATCTGAAAACTCTTAGTGCCAAACACTAAATGCCACAAAAGAAAGCAGGAGAGCAGGAGTTCCCAAGGCCCCTTGGTAAGAGACCATTTGAAAAAGGAAAGACTACTGATAATTGAAGAAAGTGAATCATATCCTGTGCTACAGAGGCAGACTGGAAAAGGTCTGGTTCCTGCCGCCACAAACTGTTCCCTCCCAACCACAAAAAGGGAAAAACGCTTAATTAGCATTCCCAAGTGTACAGATGGGATTTCCTAGATGAACAGAGCACCTCTGTGCCTAGCACACCTGCAGTCATCCTGGACATTTCAGAAAGCACCAGACTTAATGCACGTGTGCTTTACCACACTGGGCACCTGGAAAAAAGCTGTTCTGGGTGGAAGATCTGATGCTACTGCCTCAGTGTGTGAGCAACAGCAACCTTCATCAAGACCAGAGCTACCAGATATGAGGAAATCCCTAACGGATAGAGCAAGTCCTCAATAGCTGAACATGCAAATATTCCTATTAAAAAAAAAAAAAAAAGCAGGGGGTGGGAGAGGAATGCCTAGGGAAACCTACCATAGCACTAGATATAAACCTCAGTGTGACCAAGACATGCTGACTAAGTTCCCAAGTGGCTTTCCAATACAGTTAGTATCCCTCATCTGACAGATTTTGTTCCTAATCCTCCCTACACTCTCATAAAATCTCTTTCATAAATTGCTCATATAGCATCCTGGAACCTTATTGGTCTCTTGCCTCTTCTCTGCTCTTTGAAAGGTCATTCTTGAACTTCACTTCCGTAAGTAAGCCAAAATTTTTTCTAATTCCCACTTCAAATGTACTCTCCACCCCTTTACACCCTTTATTTTTTAGTATAAATAATCATTATTCCTTGATAAAGGATGAAAGTCCTCATCATATCCCCTTTCATATGCGCTTTATTAAGCTAGACAAGTCAAGTCCCTTTAGTATCCTTTAAGAAGCCAGGAAGTCCTTTATTACCTGCACCTGTTTCTGTTTAAATTCATGCTCACTCAATATAATCATCTAGAGCTGCACACAGTAGTCTAAATAAGCTCTCTTCAGTGCTCTGTGCAAATGCTTTTCCAATACTTCTTGAAAATCATGTGTCTACTAGGCCCTAGAATCACATGAACTTTTTACATGTCTATGTCATGTCAGTGACTCATACTCATTTTCAGTCAATGAATGCATTCAGATAACATTCCTCCACTGCCTCTCCGGCTCAAAGTAAAGATTCTTGTTCTTAGCCCTAAGTATATGGCTTTATTATTAAAGTTCAGCTTGCTTCCTACATTTCAGTACACAAAGTCGTCGTCTTCTTTCTGTGTGATGACCTGATTCTCCCTAGTGTTAGTAGTACCATTCAGTTTTATCACACTAGAACAGGTCCAGCTCTTAGACCAAGATTCCTGAAACAAGTAACAAACAGGATTAATCCCAAGACCTGTGCCTGCAGAACACTGCTAGTAATCCCGGTTAAATTCCTCTTCTGCTTTTAAACTAATACTACTTTAGCCAGCACCTTATCTACCTTGAAATCATTCTGACAGTCTTTGTCCTCTCCCCAGTTCCAACACTTAAAAGTAATAAAAAGACATTATATAAAACACTTTGCTTAAATCTAGATAGATTAATTTCATTACCTTTGCCTGAAGTGCCAGTTAAAATATTTTTAAAAGGATATTAAATTATTCAGTCATAATCCATCATTAATGTAACCTACTGCTAATGTAGCTACATATACCTGATAGTCTCGCTTTCAAATCGTTCATTCACATCTATTCTATAAGAGTTGTATAATACTGTTCTTAAGCAAATAAACCTGCAGATGCCCCAGCAATTTTATGCTTTTTAGAAAATAGGCAATATGTTTGCTATTTACCACTACAGGTATCTGTAGTGGTATTTGCTGTTATCACTCTTTTGATCTATAGTTTATTTGAATAGTCAAAGTTGAATCGAAAACCAATGGTTTGGGGCTTGTAATGTCATGCAGCAATGCT